ACTCGGGTGTGGCTTAAGTGGCAGAGCACTTGCCTAATAAGGGTGAGGCCCTGGGTTCCATCCCCAGAACTGCCAAAAAAAAAAAAAAGTGCATTAATTTCATGCCAGTAATCCATCCTGCCTACTTGGAACTGGAAGTCAGGAGTCTGGCAGTTCAAGGCCAGCTGGGACAAAAAGTATGCAAGACCCCATCTCAACCAATAAAAAGCTGGGCGTAGTGGTACACACCTGCCATCTCAGCTAGGTAGAAAACAAAATAGGAGGATCACAACAAGACCTATTTGAACAATAAAAGGGCTAGGAACATGTTTTAAGTGGTAAAGCACTTGTTTAGCAAGTAGGAAGCAGTGACTTCAAGCCCCAGGACCATCAAATATGTGTGTGTTTGTTGACTGAACAGCCCACCTTCCCCCAAACAGAAATAGGGATTAATACCCCCCCACCCCAATTCTGGGACTGCTTTATCTTGCTCTTCTCTTAGGTGGGGATTACCGTGGGCTCTGAGGAATCACAGAGCTTGCCCAACCGCACAGGTTTGGGCTAGGAAGATGGGGGGATCCCACTCACCTTTCTCTGGACACTTGGATGGGTCTATCTTTTCCCTCCCCTAGCACTTAGCTCTGTTTCCTGGGCTATCGTACCCATTAGAAAGGGGGGTGACCCAAGCCAGGCATGGTGGCCCATACCTGTGGTCCCAGCTACTCAGAGGCCAAGGTAGGAGGATCACTGTCTAAAGCCAGCAGGGCAAAAGCATGAGCCTCTATCTGAAAAACAAACTAAAAGCAAAAAGACTGGGATGTGAGCGCCTGCCTTGCAAGCACAAGGCCCTGGGTTCAAATCCCAGCTCAGAAAAAAAAAAGGAAGAAAAGAAAAAAGAGAGTGATCCTTTGAGGGATAAACACAGGAGCAGGAGGAATCAGTTTGCACACTGTGCTCAATGGGTCCTAGGAAAGACTGGGCAGGGGCACGTGGTGGGCAGGGGAGGTCCGAGCCATGCTCCGCTTCCCTAAGGAATTAAGGATTTTGGGGACAGAGCACCCGGATCCAAGGGCCGCTCCCCACAATGGTGAGCATGGGGCCCGAGACCATGGTCAGCACACAACACCGAGGGCACCTGTGGGGCCCCTATGTCTGAGGTTGGGGTGCCCAGCTTCAAGTTTCACAGAACGTGGGGTAACCCTGGACATAGGGGTCCCGTGGGATCCGATGCCTAGAATGTGGCGGTGTGGGAGGCTCGGGGCACGCGGGGCGCTGGTCGTGGGGGTCCCCGAGGCGCAAGGTCGGATGCTGGGAGCCAGGATGAGCCCGGGCCCGGAGCAGAGCCGTGCGCGCCAAGCGGCGGCCCGGAGAGTCTGCGCGCGCGCACGCGGACGCCTCGGTTCCCGGAGCCCCGCGGCCAGCGCGACCTCACTGCGACTGCGCAGCCGGAGCCTGGGCCGCGGTGGGGGTGGGGTGCCGGGTCTCTTTTCGCTCCCCCAGCCTCTCTGCACCCTTGGTGTCCTCTGCGGAGTCCAGGAGCCGCCGCGGACAGGATGCGGTGCGGGCTGATCCCGCCACCACCGGGGCGCAGCGCTGATCCCCAGCACTGGGAGGGTCTGGGAGGAGGAGGGGTGGTGCCGGGATTTTTCCAAACTGAGCTGGGGGTTCTCCCTGAACGAACGCCAGCCCCCTTCCTGTGAGCGAAGACGACCCTTTTTCAACAGAACGAAGTCCTGCGCTCGTGTATGCAGTGGGCGGCTCAGGGGGTGCTGGGTGGGGGATTGGAGTCTGAGCGATAATAACTGTTCTTCTTGTGCCCAGGCCCTCCTCCATGCTAGGCAAGCGCTCTAGCCCTGAATTACACCCCAGCCCCAATCCTGTTGGGTTTATAGAAAGCTGGCTGCGTGGATGTGGGGAAGGATGTCGTTTGCCCCGCTGAGGCATTTCACCTACTCCCCAGCATTGAAAGCCTACTGAGAGTCTGCTGGGATCAAAGTGGGAAATTGAGGCATAAAGGGGTGAGACCCTCTCTATGGACCCCTCCATACCCAACAGATCCTCTGCCGACCGCAAATGGGATCCATTCTGGCCCATCAACCTCCAGGTCGACCATGGTGTCCCTCCTCCACTCTGCTTTGAAGTTTGGGGTCAGATTTGGTCTGGGTCCTGGGCTAGGACAGGTGTAGTTAAAAGGCAGTGGAGAGTAGAGGGTGGTCATAGAAGTGGCCCTGGGCACTCTGGTGTCCTGTCTCTGCCCCACTTCAGCCACCAGGACATGCTTCTTAGGAAGGCCTGCTGGGAATTCTGTTAATTGTCCTACACATATTTCATTCAGTCCCCCACCCACTGGGGTTTCAACTCAGGGCCTTGCACTTGCTAGGCAGTTGCTCTACCACTTGAGCTATGTGCCCCCAGCACTTTTTGCCCAGGGCAGGCCTACGACCTTGATTCTCCTACCTCTCTCTCCTGATTAGCTGGGATTACAAGCAGACACTACCATGCCCATCCCTCATTCAGGCTGTTGTAGATACTCATAGTTCCCATCCAAGTTGGACCCAAGTCTTGTGTTTTGGCCATCTCAGTCCCTTCCACCCACTCATTCTATAGAATGAGTCCCTCACTCATTCTATAGAGAGAGTCTGATTATAAGCCCATCTCTTCTTGCTTGGACAGAGAGGGACTGTCTACTTCTGCTCCATCCTCAGCTCTGTCCCCGCCCCCAAAATCCACATCAAGATTTATGGGCCCTATTATCTTAATGCTGTCAGAGTATTAAAATTCAGCCAGACTTTGAACTTGAACTGTCTGCCTTAATATTAGGCCTCATTTGGGTGAACTTCCTTCCCCAAGAATCCAAGTCCGGGTTTTGTGCTTCCCCAGCCATCAATCTTAAGAGTTGCACCCATCTTTCATAAAATAGATTCAGGGACCTGGCTTCCAGGTCCTGTCCCCCTGAGATCCCAACCAGATCTTACCTCTCAGGACTTTCCCTCTCCACTCCCCCTCCCCTCCCAGATTGCCTTCCTCCCCCTCCTGCACTGAGTTTATTCTGCTGAAGTGCCTATTTTTGGCCCAGGGCCGGGTTTCATATCCCCCACTGTGGGTCTTGGCAGGCATAGCTCTGGCTCCAGGGATCCAAGCCAGGTGGACAGCCTTCCCCACCCTGGAGAGGGGGTACAAGGCTCCCTCTGCAGCCTCAGCCTAAAACCTGTCTCTGGCCTCCACTCACTGAACGAGAAGACTAAGCCCCCCCCCCAAGACTATTCTCTGCCCTACTTTTTCGTGTCCATCAGCTGCAGTGTAGTTCTACATTGTGAAAATCCACACCGTGTTTTAGCTCTTGCTGTGAACCTAAAATTCAATTTTTTCTCTTCTTCCACCTCCCCACTCGCCAAAGCCAGACGTTTGAGGCGTTTATATACACTAACTTCCCCCTGCCAGTTTCTTCCACCCATACATCCCGGTCAGTTCCAAGCCCCTGTCCGGTTGCCAGGGATCTTCTTTGGGGCGGGGGGGGGGAGGTGGAGAATGGGGGGAGGTCCTTATCCCATCCTGCACGCTCCAGTCCTGGCTTTGCGTGCCTCCCTCGCCTTTCATTGTAGGTCTGGTCTCCCAGGGTAGCGGCCTCCTCATCACGTTCCCTTCCCTTTGCATCGCCCCTGGATCCAGAACCCACTTTTACCTGCCTGCTCCTGGATGTAGCCCGCTCTCCGGATCCCTCCGTACCCGAATCCGGCCCTCCTTTTGCCCTTCCCACTGGCACGTCGCTGACAGGAAGAAGGAGGGGGGGGGGAGAGGAGAACCCCCCCGGCCCCCCCCCAACGTCCGCTGCCAGCCCAGGTCCGAGGACTCTAGTCCAGGTCTTGGTTGTTCCAACTGCATACGTCTGACGCAGTACTCCGTCTCCCGAGAAAGAATCCAGCCCGAAATTTGCGTGCCCCGGTGCATTTGGCCCTGTCGCAGCTCCCTCCCCACCCCGGTTCCCCCTGCTCTGTCTGATCCAATCCGGGTTTTCATAACCCTTCCAGATCTCCCCATCCTCCCCCCCTACGCCCCACTCCTCTCCAGAGGCTCCTTTACTTGGCTGTTGGAAAATCCATTCCAGGTCTTCCTTACGCTTGGCTCCCCTCCTCCATTCCCCGTTCCAACTCGAGGGATCTAGCGCGTCGCCTTCCATCTCCCCACTTTTCCTGGAAGTGGGGGAGGGAAGCGACAGGAGGTGAAGGGAAGGGAATTCCAGTCCGGGTTTTCAGGTGCGCCCGGGAAAAGGTTGCGGAGGCCAGTCCGGGTGGTAGATCCAGGCCGGGTTTTGCGCGCGCTCGCCGCCCCCCTCCCGGAGCGGGTGCGCCGGCCGGGGAGCGGGGCGAGCAGGCGGCTTGTCATTGCTGGTGCCCGGCGCCGGCTCGGTCCGCGCGTCCTGCGGTGCCCACGGGCCCGGCCCGGCGGCCCCCGCTCCGGACGCCCCGGGGGCGCGACGCCGTCACCCCCCGCCTCCATCCTGCCGTGAGCGCCACCCCCAGCCCCCCTTGGCCACTGCGGGAGCGCGAGCCGTCGGCGCGGGAGCTGTCGGCGCTGCGGCGCCCCCGCCCCGCCGTCTGCCGAGGAGGCCCCGGCCGATGGGGCCGCGCGGGCCCCGGAGCGGCGCCGCTGGGCGGCGGGGGGCTGCAGGGGCGTCCCGGATGCCCCGTTAACCCCTCGGCCACCGCCACCGCCGCCGCCGTCGGAGGGGGCTGGGAAGTCGCCTGGGCGCACACGTGCCGCTCCGTCGGGGCCGCGGAGCTGCGGGGGAGATGCGGGCCGCTGCTGGCGCCGCCTCGGGGGGCTCCGCCTTGCCCCAGCCCCCCGAGCTCTGACGCCGCCCCCGCCCCGCCGCCTCCACCGCCTCCCTCCGCGGGAGGGGCGCAGACCCGCGCGCCCCCAGCCCGGAGCCGCCACCGCTGCCGCGAGGGGGCCGCCTTTGGAGCTGTGTGATCCGCCTTTTTTTTTTTTTTTTTTTTTTTTTGTCTTTTTTAATTTTTGGTCGGTGGTGGTGGTGCTGGGCCAGAGGAAGAAAAGGACACGGAGGCCGCCCTCGCCCCGCCACCCTCCACCCGCTTTCCCCCCGCCCCGGCTCCGGGAGATGTGCCGGGCGGGGGGCTCGGGGTCGCGGAGCCGCAGGAGAAACGCGCAGGGCCGACCCCAGAGCTACGCTGGACAGGTGAGTGTGTCTGCGGGTCCAGGGCGAGGGGACGCCGCACCTGGGCCAGGTGTGCGCGACGGGAGGGGGGCGGCACGGATGGGGGAGGGGACGCTGGCGCTGCGCGCGAGGGTGGCCGCACCTGGGGGGCGTCGGGAGCGAGCCTCATCCATCCCTTCTGCACACACACACACACACACACACACTCTCATTGGCGAGGGGGGCGGTCCCCACGGGGGACTCGGGGTGCGGATGGGCGGCCGCAGGGTGCCCGGCGGGGGGAGGGGACCTCGAGTGTGCCCGCGCGTGGCTGCGTGTGCCCGCGCGCGCGCCAGCCTTTGTGGGGAAGCGGCGCGGCGGTGCCTGCGTGTCCCCGGTGCGTGTGCGCGCGGGTGCTTGGCGCCCTGTTTGTGTAGGTGTCTGGGTGGGAGCGGAGAGGGTGCGTGAGCGCGCGGCGCGCGCGGGCCTCAGCCCCCGGGAACAGTCGGGTCGGGGGGCTGGCACAGAAGGATGCTGCTGGGCTGGGGGTTGTTTTTCTCCGCGAGGCAGTGGCGCGGGGGAGGGGGATGGGGAGGGGTCTGTCTGGGTGTCAAGCGCGCTGCAGCCAAGGGGACGCTGCTGTCAAGAAGAGAGGATGCAGCCCGGCAGCATCCTCTGTCGGTGGTACCCCGTTAGGGGAGGCTGACTGTGGCGATCCCGCGGGGTTGGACTTTGAGGACGAGCTTTGTCCCTCCAGGTGTGCATGACGCTGAGCTGTGTGGAGCTCAGCTGTCATCGTCCCATTTGAGGGTCCTGGGACGGAAGTCCAGGCCCGAAGTGTGTGTGCGGGGTTCTGTGTGCTACGGCTATGGCCGGAAGATGCCCTCACCAGGAATCGCTCCAGTGCGCCCCGGGTACCCCGGCTGCTGCACAGCCCCACGCACACGCATGTTTGTCCCTCCACTTGAGTGTAGGTCAGCTCCCAGCCAGCGTCTCACTGTACCCTTCTGATCCCTTCCACAGCACTCCTCCTCCTTCCCTGTCCCCAGCCCTGGCAGCTGTGTGGGTGTCTCCTTCAATCCCTGGCTGAAGCCGAGCTCTGTCCCTCTTGGCTTTTGTGGGGACCCGGAGCCCCTGTCCCTCTTCCCCTATCCAAACATGTGCTGTGCTTTGGGGGGGTGGGGGGAGGGGCTCAAGATGGCCGCCAAGATGGCTGCACCTCTCTTTCTTCTGTTTCCCCTTCTCTCTGCTTGCCCTCCCGCCTTGGCTGCTGTAGGATCACCACGAAGAGGGAGCTGGATGGCGTGGGAACAGGTGTAGGTGACACCTGAGGGTGGATGTCTGTTCTGGGTCTGTTGACCTCTAGGGCTGCTTGGAGAGAGGCTCTAGGTTTCTGCTCTTGTCTGCACCCCAAGGGCAGGCAGGAGGCTGTAACCCGACCCCAGACCCAACTCCTTCCCCTTGGCCCACAGCCTGGGGGCTCCCCGTCTTCCCCCTGCTCTCCTGGGCCTGGCACCATGAATGGGGATGCTCTGTGGAGGGTCTCCAGCTGTCCTCTTCTCCATCTGCCCCACAGCAGGGGTTGTGTGGGGCGGGTGGGGGGCCTGGGTCAGGTCCCAGCTTTGGGGGCAGGTGACTTCGCCCTCCTCCCCACCCCCTTCCCACTAATGCTGAATTTATTACTTAAAAGTAGGATGAAAACAGGGAGAATAAGGGAAGGAATACAACCTTCATTATCATATCGAGAAAATTATCCGTGATTTTCCTAGCTAGCAATTTGCCTGCCACGCCGTTCAGAACTGACTTGCCCATTAATTACCAAAATGAAAAATCTGGAGAGTGGAAAAGGGAAGTAATTCCATAGCTGGTGGCAATGGCCCGGTATGTGCGCCTCACGTGTGGGTCCTGGCTCTCCTGACTGCCACCATCTTCCTCATCTCCCTTGGTGACCTCCCGAAGGGGCCCACTTGGGCCACCCTGTGCAGGTCCCTTCTGCCCTCCAATGCCCACTAGCTCTGCCCTGTCTCACTCTACAGGATGCCTGTCCCAACCCCCACTTGCAGGGGCTTGGTGTATCCCAGTTCCTCACCATCGCCTGTGCTGCTGCCTGCCCTTGGGTGTGGGGGCAGCGCTTAGAATTGGGGGAGGGTAGGGATTTGGAGAGCAGTGCACCTGAGCCTGCAGGCTGCAGGCGGGAGATGCAAAGCCAGGCTTCTATTCCCAGCCTGCCCTGGGGACCCCTTCCCTCCTGGGGGATGGTGGGGGCAGGGCCTGCACTGCCTTGTGCATCCAGCTGTCTGGGTTCCTAGCAGGTGGTATGTACCTGTGCGTGTCTGGGGTATCCTCTTTAGTTCGTTTTCTTTGCCTCACTTGGAGAGTCTGTGGGGCTCCAACCCCAGGATGGTCACTTGACGGGAGGCTGAAGGGCAGCAGCTCCCTGGAGCCACTGGAGAGGGTACCCTTACAGAGGAGCAGGGGGATCCTGGCCCCCTCCTGACCCTGGTCTCTGTCCCCGCCACTGACACCCCAGCCAGACGTTTGGCCAAGGACACCCAGGGCTCTGGTTTCTGTGTGGGCTCCTGTGGAGGATCCGATTTCCAGAGCCAGACATGCCCCTCCTCCAGCGCCTGCTGAGGTGGGGGGTCCCTGCTGAGCCTGCAGGTGCCTGAGCCAGGCAGTGGCCTCCAGGGCTGGCTTGCCTTAGGATGAATGTGCAATGTGGAGTCTTAGGATAGGGTGGGGGCCCCTGCACTACAAGCCGGTAGGATGTTTGTCTGCACCTGTGGGTAGCTGTTCTGCATGTGCAAGGCTAGGACAGGGACCCTGCCACTTGTCCCATGTGTGGCCACTTGTCCAACTGGCTGTGTTCACAGAGGCTCTGTCTGTGTTCCTGTGGCTCCAGGCTGTGCAGTTAGCTGTCTGTGTGCACACCTGCAGGCATGTGCTCAGGTGTCTGCTGGGGGCTCCTTGCAGCAGGGCTGGCTGCACCTCTTCATGCAATATACGAGCACTTGCAAGTGCAGTCTCTACCAGGCACCCTGCTGGGGATGCCCTGGGGACAGTGGCCCTGTCCTCTTCTCCCCATGGTTCGCGGTCTAGCAGCATATAAGCAGTTTCAGTCTGGGGGAGTTGGGGAAAAGGCTTGTGCTTCCCCCTCTGCTTGGGAGGGCATTGCTCCTCCAACATTCAGACTCCACCCCAGACCTTTGCACGGGCTGTTCCTACCATGGGACCGCTGTCCCCCTGCACCTGTAAGGCCTCTGCAGTAAACTTCCCCACCATGCACTCTGCTTGTAGCTGTGGCTCACGCAGCACTCCCGCTCTCCTACAGCCGACGGCTTTCACACTGTAATTTCCTGATTTATTGGGCCTGTTTGTTTACTGTCTGTCTCCCTGACAAGGATCCAAGTGTTTGGGGATGTTGTATGTTGGTTTGCTCTTGGAGCCCAGGTGTCTAGATTCTTACGTGGCACGTAGAAGCTGTTCAGGAAGTCTTACCTGAGCTGGTTGTGGTGATGCATGCCTGTAATTCCAGCATTCGGGAGGCAGAGATAGTAGTATTGTGGGTTCTAGGCCTGACTGGGCTGCATAGCCAGACCCTATCTCAAAACAATAACAAGAACAGATCCTACCTGAATATATGGGAGGGGCCTCTCCAAAGGGTGTCCCCCACCCCTGTGCGTCTCTTCTGATGTGGCTGCCCTGGTGTGCAGCGGTGTCTTGCAGGGAAGGTGGCTCCCTGAGTGGCACCGCAAGGCTTAGAACCTGCAGGGGCATCTTGGAGACCCCTGCCATTGCCAGGGGGTAGCATTTCTGGGTTAAGGCCTGGGCAGTGCCTCCTCCTTCTCCCTGGGGCGCTGATCCCCACCTCTCCCTTGGCTGGGGACCGTCACCCTTGTGCAGCTTTCCCGAAGCCCTGGGGAACTCACAGCCAAAGCCCCCTGTCTTGCCCACCTCCCACTCCCAAACTGGAGAGAATAAAAAATGCCATAAATAGATACGAGGTTAAAAACAGCCCCCCCAAACTAAAAATAGCCCACAAGTCACAAATGGGCAGGCCAGGAAGCCAGGTGACTGTCTTGACCCTCCTGGTGCCCCGGACGGGCCTCCTGGCATTGTAGTCAGTGGCAGAGTCCTTTGTGCACTGTGGGGTGCAGAGCAGCATGAGCCCCACCAAAAAACTGTCACATGGAGTGGGGAGGAAGGCCCTGGCTCTGCTGCAGGAATCCATCTTCTCCATGAGGAGTCACAAATGGATTCTCCCGGGCCCTGGAGCCACGTGTGGGCTCTGTTGCCCATTGGCCTTTCTCTTCCCCACTCTCAGAAAGGAAGCTGCTATCCTTAACTTCCTAGGAGACAAGCATGGGCGGGGACCTGGCCCTGACCCTCGAGCGCCCCCCAGTGGCCCGGGTGCTGAAGGTTGGCGTACCTGTGAGGTTGAGGACCACTCAGGGAGTACTGGAGGACGTGGTCAGGCCCGCGCAGCCTGTCCCTGCCACCTCTCTGCCCTCGTTCTCTCCCATTCTCCCCTCCTTGCTGCTGTTCCTCGAACACACAAATGCCATCCAGCCCCAGGGCCTTTGCACAGGCTGCGCTCCTGCCTAGCCAGCTGCTGCTTTCTTTCCCTGGAGACCAGCAGGGCCCCTGCCTCATCTTAACAGGACCGTGGGTCTTTCCCTTTATTGCCCGATCCGAAATTGCACCCCCCCGGCCTGTCTCCTTACCTTTCTTCCCCTACAACTTAGCATGCTACAGAGTCAACTTTATTTGCTTGTGTGCCTGGCACACAGTAGGTAGCTCCAAAAAGCATGTGTGGAACTACAAAGATTTGGAACCCAGGACCTGGAAAGTGCTAGATAGGCATGCTACCTACCGCTGGGCCATCCCTGAGCCTCTATGATTACGCGTGAGGCTCGCGCCATGTCCCCCTGTGCAGAGACAGGGTCCCAACAGTGATGGGTACCCGTGGGATCTAGGCACCTGCCCTCCTCCCTGTGACTCTGCATTCCCCACCTTGTTCCTTCACTGCCAGTGCATCTGGG